ATATTTTGTCTACATTTAGGTACTTTATGTTATACATCATACAGAGAAGTATTAAAAATATAAGTAGGTACTAATTGTATATAAATAATTTTTTTTATTAGACATACACATACCTAAAGTAATTTTATTAGTTGCAGTCACTGCAATCAAACCGGTACAATAATTTATATCAACAATATTGTATAAGTGTGTATTTTTATTTATATGCTACATAAATTGAATACACCTAACCTTTTCTATATGTATAACATAAAGTAAATATTCAACATTTCGGTTTTACCGAAAAGCGAATCAAACGAAAAATTGAGGGTACGATTTTGGTCGAAAAAGGTCTCACCCGTTCTATTAATATATTAGTAGGAAATAAGAAGTACGACAGACGTGCATTACTATCTAAGATCTACTTATATTTTTGATAACCAATCGATTCCGCTACACATATCAATTTTCAATACTAATTTTCGTAGTCGTCCTTGTTACTCCTTGGCTTTTATTTAAAATTTTAATTGAAAAATAAACTTTAATTCTTTATATTATTATTTGTTTCAAAATTAAAAATTGCTAATTTCGATGTGCCAAGTTCAGCAACGACATAAGGACAAATTGGCACCAATACTGATTAAAGTTTAGTTTGTTTAGATCACGACTATTCTGCATCCAGTGATAATTAATTCAAAAGTATTTATCGCATATTACACACGTTTTAATTTCGATTTTTATACATTTTAATTTTTAAAACTTTCCTAATTCGAAATGGTTATAAATTGGCGGAATCGATAGATAATTAATCGAAGCACCGAATGGTCGGTTAAGTAAGCAGTATATAAGAATACAATATTACAACAGGTAGGTACAGACCTATTTGGGTGGAACAAATCAAAACCATTCAGTAAAATATTAAAATGTAGGGTGATAAATAGGTACTAAATAAAATAAAAAATGTATAACATTATTAGTTTATACACATTTAATTTTAATAATTTGTGGCCTTGTGGGCAGACGAGAGGATTAACTATTAAACATTATTAGATGATAAGACTTTAATTATATTGGTTTTTTAAACTTATAACCAAGAAGTTATCTAGTTAATGTTGACTAGTAAAGTTATGTACATAGTTACACCTCCTACTAGATACACGAGGAAATAAGCTCATTTTTACAAATAAATCTCAATAATATACCTATAATCTTTATGTTTACATTTATTTCTTTAACTAATATTGTCTAAAAAATATTTATAAAATTTACTATCTTGGTTATTATAATGACTAGATTTTAGTTGTTTTTCGATAGACATCGAATTAGATCATTCACACACGGCACAGGTACAGGTAGTAGGATCTGTTATTTATTGTTAATTTACCAAACTATACATTTTGATCATAGATTAGCTTGTAACATGTAAGTATAGTCAATTTTATTTTATTAGTCTAATTTCATTTATTTATAACGTTTTTTCTGTAAATGCATTATACTTATTTTGACAATATTATGTTTAAAATTAAAATATTAAAACCAAATATTCGGCATACACAATAAAAGTTAACTGTTTTTATTCTTTGGTTCTTAAAAACTGTGTTACTACAATACTATCTACGTGTGCTTATATTCTTAACTTTATTGTGATCAGTCTTGTTATTTTTGCTCTCGTAATATATGACATGTTGAATTGTTGAAATACTTTTTGGACATTTTAATTAATATGGTACAACGTATATTCTGTAAAGTGGGTTATTAAATGAATTAAAATATGCGCACTTTTCCACATGGTAGTGAATTAAATTTTATGTACATAATATGTAAGTATAGTACTTTTATTACATGGGTTATAATTTTTGAGAGGATTCATTAAAATTTTTCAAGTGGAAAGCTAAAAGCTGTTTCTGAATAATAACAAGAGGCATAATGTTATAAGTTATGTGACTCATAATCCGTAGCCATCAGCGACTTAAAGCTTTTAATAAAATTCGTTAGCGCAATTCAAAATAATTATAGGTTTTAAGCACGATGTTTAAAAAGTTTTTTTAAATGTCATTCAGAGATATATCCTTATAACGAACGTAGGAGTCACGGCACATGCATTGTTAAAAATATCAGATGGCCCGGTAAGAGCTGAAACTTCAAAAGTTCAAAACTAAAAAAAGTTTCGTCGGCTTAATTGCCTAATCACATTACGTTTAAACAAATATTTTTAATGATCAACCTACGTATATACACCAATACACCTGACTAGTGCTTAATGGCTGTCTCAAACAAAATAATTATTCTGCGAAACTACGATCTAATTAATATGAAATACCTACCTATAGGTCTTCGTCCCTTTCAAGCAATCAAGCATTATTATTATTTCGACATTATTTGTAAAATATTTAATTTATGTACAATTGTTCAAAAAATAATACCTATATGTGTCTTATGCTCTTATTTTTTTTAAAAATATTATTCATCAAACGTTTTTACTTCATTTTTTATTACATTGTATTCGTACAATCAATAATGTAATGTATAATATTACGTGTTATTAATTTGAATAAAACATTAACAAAAAAAAAAAATTATCGGCATGAATTAGTATAAAATCTGTTTAAAAGTGCAACTGTGTTTAATTTACCGATATAATGTTATGATTAGTAATTTATGGATATAGATTATATTTTTGTTTCGTGTAATTTTTAAATTTTATCACATTATTATTGTTCGGTTTTCATTAAAATGGCCCGCGGGCGTTATAATAATATATTCAATTCAAATATTTGGCTCTATATAATTTTATCGTTATAGTAGTTGTACCTATAACATCTATACGTAACATGTTATTATTATCGATTATATCACCAATTACATAGAATTAGCTTGATTTTACTATTTTAGTAGTTTAGTTCATTAATAATTATTTATAGATTTAACTGATATAAGCGTAACCAACCTATAATTGAATACATTATACATAGTGAATAACCTACTTGGAATTTTGAAAATAAATCTAATTAATAATACATTAATTTGGTATCGATGTGTTTTACCATGGAAACATTTAATTACCTATTGAATAAACAAAGAAATATTAGCTTATCATTAAATGTAAACAATGTGATTGGTTTTCTATGAACATTATTTTCGTTAACTGCGACTTTTATCAATTTTACCTTTCTCAATACTACGGTTCTCGGTCTAAATAAGACATTATGTAATAAAATATAAGACCCTACTTACAGAAGAGCTAGAAATATTGCGTTAGTTTGGTGTTAGTTACACTTTTATTTTCCCTGTCTATTAAGAGTTGAAGATAAAATATGTTTAAATATATTTACAATATATTTTTAAACCTATTAAAAGTCAAAACTGTAAGTAAATTAGTAAATAGGTAGGTAGGTAATAATCGGTGAGTTGGGGAATAACGAAAATTTCATAAACAATATAATTTAATTATTATACATCAATATCAAATTTTATTTTAACTTTAGATACCTTGTACGTACTTACCTACTGTGAACAATATAAAACAACGAAATGTCAAGCAAAATACTTTTGCATAGGTATACAAATAGTTAAAATTGTGGTAAAACGAGTATATTAAGATTGTTTTGATCAAAATAATTTAGAGTGAACTTTTAGTATAGGAAAAAATACAATATTAAGGGGTGGTTTATCATTAGGCAAATTTGAATTATATTTTAGAAAAATGATATTTTATTATTGATTTCAAATTAATAAATAATCGAATGTGTTGAGATAGTATTATCAAATTTAACATAATAATAAATTCTAATCGAATAGGAATGGACTTTAAGCTGATGTGCAAAGATAATGATCAATACGTCATGCCTATAATATGTTATGTTATATAGGTAGTAACTGTAATTGAAAGAAAACTTTTTTGCTGAAACTAATTAAGTTAATTATAACGATATCAAACTATTACATGTGGTGTAGGTGTGATTGGATTATTTATATTAAATGTGGAACATTTTTAACAAATAAATGTACAACTATACTCTTGTTTCAAAAAGAAAAATTGATTTAAAACATTAAACAGAGACTTATCGATGTGTCAGGACACGGAGATTTTTATAATATACCAACCTATCTACTCTAATGAGTGATGTGTAATACCAGATTTTACCTAGGTATACATGGTTGACAATAAATTAAGTATCTAGGTAAATTTACATTGAACGATTGCTTCTTTGTTTTTTTTTTTACCAACTAATTTAAATCTTAATGTATCTATAGTTATATAAATAGTGGTCATCGTTTTCGTAACGAATATTGTTAATACTTTACTGGACACTTACGCCGAAAAGATTTAAGAGCATTAAGAACATACGTATTATGTATAACCATGTTCGATGAATACTATCCTATGGATATTGGATAGATCTGTAAGTATTTTTCACTTATTCAGTAATAATGATGTGTTTATGAGTGTACGAATTAAAAGCATTAGAGCATAATCATAAACAGAAAATGTGTAAAAGCGTTTTTATTAAAGATAGTGTTTACGATAAATTGAGTAGGTATCCTTATTTTTTTTTTCTATCTAGGTCATAAAAACTATTTTTCTGTTTAACTGGAACGAGCTCAAACCATGGTCATGCTATATAGACGCTGCTGTCACTGACTGTAGTGCCCTTTAATAGTGACTAATATATATATATCGCCAATGTCGCCCTTGAACTTTAGGCGTAACCTAAACGGTATTAACGACTTTTGGTGCTGTGACAAGTTTAATAATAAGACGATGATTAATAATAAACACACTGCCGGAAAGCGGTGTACCGTGTGATATATGTATCTATATGCCATAGGTGTATTAAATATTAATCCTTTTAATATAAGACGTGTTGAAATGTATTTCAGGCGCACTATAATATAATATATACTATAATAATATGAACCTAACCACTTCGAATATCCTCGAATATCGTCATACAGTGTATGAACTAGGGAAACTTATTATTATTATTATTAGTAGTAGTATTATTATTGATGTTATTTACTATTCCGTAGAAGCCACTGATGAGGGCTCCGGTCTTGAGCGGGCAGCCCAGACACGACGTGACCAACGGGAACTTTCGACCCATCTCGGACACTGCGTTTACCGCGAACAACTCGGCTAGAATACAACGGCACTAGTTGCACGTCTATCGGAAGTTTTATGTTCGACTTGCACTTGACGGGCGCGAGACTGAAGCACACGGAGATGAAAATAAAAATAAAAATATTCGATTATTAGATTTTTATACTCAAATTTTTACCGACGTAGTGGTGTTTATGCTGTTTGTTTATTATTATTGTTATTATTGTATTTTTTAGCACGACTTGTGAACACCGTGTGCACACGCGACAAGCTCGCCGGCCGCTCGAAACACAACTGCACACTATATTATTATACGAGTGAGTAGGTATATGACACTCCACCGCCGCCGCCACCGCGCGCGGCTGGTTATGCCGCCACGGACCTTGTAGCGAGTGGCCCATAAATAGACTTGACCGTTGGCGAAAAAATAAAAAAACGCGCCCGTCGCCCGGACCTACCTCTCCGGACATCGTGTACACGCTACACAGTAGGTACAATATGATATAATAATTACAATAATAATAACAACATTACCGCGAGGCGATGATAATACGCTTATTAGTACCTATAATATAATCGGAACCGGCACGAGTGTTACTCGCTAATGATAAAAAAACTTTTTCCCAATCGATTATTCACGCGTTTTAATCAAAATTATAATCCTGGACTCCTCCGCCTGGACTACTCTGTTCTCTCCAGTCGAAAAAGAGTCACGAGAATGACGGCAGTGACTAATTTGTTGGTACAGGTACACCCAAGAACAAAAACAGCTGCCCATCTGCCAGCGTTTCGGTTATGTATATGAAAATTAACTCACGAAATGTGCTAATCGATTTTGATGAAAGCATAATATCATTTTGAATATTAGTATTTATAATTTGTAGCTATAATATGTGTAGTACACAATAATTAATAATACAATTACGAACCCGCTCTGCACAGATTTCTAGAGACTGGTACTTTTTTACGTACCTACCGGGATTTAAAATATAGGTATACCGGGATCGTGTTCACGGTAAAACCGGTAGATTCCTGGCTAAATCTGGACCAATGGCAAGTATGAGTGTGAAGTCGGTCATTCCAATGCAGTATAATTAGATTACGTATGTACATGGGAATCTACCGATTGAGCTCAAAATGACCTTTTCATATACGAATAATTGCACTTAAAACATTTGAGGTGGATTGACCAGTTGCGCTCGGTCTTTCTCAGGGTTGATATGGAACGATTGCACTAAATAACAGCAGTTGGTCATTTAAATTAAAAATATATGAAAATTGCTTTTATTGTATTCAGTACAGACAGAGCCCTTCAAATCGTCAGTAGGTGATAAATCGGTCCCAAGACAGTAGTAACAATAAAGACGACGGACGCCGGAGAAGCGATAGCTGTTCAATTCACGAGTCAAATATGCTATTGTAGTATACTATAGTATGTACATTGTATATATTATATACTAATAAATAAAATATAATCTTAAATCTTTATGTATAAAATGATAATAAGTCGTAGTAAATAATGTGGTTCGAAAGACAGACACCGGGGGGCTGGCAGGGGTCTGCGTGGTACCAGATGTTCAGCCTAATCGGTTGTATAAGTTTTTAATATTAAATTATTTTTAAATAGGTAGGTATAGTAGCTGGTACACAGTTTATGTATAGGTAATATATGATAATACAACGTTTATGGAATTATATTGGATGAGGAAATATTATTTATACCTGAAAGTAAGACTTAAGGGTATGTACAATTGTATATATTTCTGTGCGATTGGCGGTATGATATATACCAACTATAAAATACGAGTAGCCCAATAATTGGTGCACGAATCGATCCTAAAATACAAATTTTGTTTTTTTGCGCCACTGGTCCATGCCCTTTTATTGTGTAGGTATGATATGTTTACCGGCATCACACTGCAGTTATATACGCCGACGTATGGTCATTGTACCTATAACGATACCTATACGTGGGCTGTGAAAACCTTGAGGGAAAAACATCCACACACACACACACACACACACACACACACACACACACACAACGGTATTGGTACTCTTCTCCACCGACGTCGCCGCCACACCCACCCCCGCTATCAAAGCAGTCTTCGTAAACATCACGCGCTCGTACCTCCATACCTATAATAATAATAATATGTAATATGCGTCTAATATCATATTATTATTATTATTATATTTTCTTCTCCTCTCTCTCCGCGTCGCGTCGTCCGCGACCATAGTTAAAAACTCGTTCTCCGACTGATATTTTTTTTTTTACCTCGCTACGACGCATATTATAATATTATAACGTATGTCGTATCATAATATCGTATAGCCTCCGTCGTGGCGATCCGGGCAGCTCCCCCCCTCCCCACTTCACCGATAGATCGTCCCCGCGGGCTTTCGAGATCGGCCCGCGGTGGCGGCACACGAGATCAATGTCAAACGGCGCCGCCGCAGGCAGGATTAATGTTTTGTCGCACTACATATAGGCACGAGCGTGCACGGCTGCTGTTATAATAAGCTGCAATAATATAATAATCACTATACATACATTATATTATATCGGAGGCGCTGTAGTCGCTTATATATACAAGGTTTAACAGATAGACCTGACCAAAAAAAAAAAAAAAAACAAAAAATGATGCTACCTTAACGCATAGGACAAAATTATTTAACATTTTATGAGTAGTAAATAATTTAAGAAATATTCTCATGTCAACAAATTTCCTAAAATTATATTTTGAAAAAAGTTTTTACGTTTCAAATGAATTTAATCAAAAAAATATTGGTATTCTAAAAAATATACTACTCGACTTAGATAAATGTTTTACCATCAAAATTGTTCTTATAATCAGATTCACAAATTGGCTATTTTGAACTTATCCAAAAAAAAAATTTAGTTAAATTTTGAATTTTTTTATATTATACACATAATGCAATTGACTGTAAATTATATATATAAAAAAAAAATTCAAAATATTGATTATAACAAATGTTATTGCATTAGTCAATTCTTTCTGTTCCACTCTGCATGTATATATTAATATATGCGCTTTTTCAATTTTCTTTGTTCTTATAATTCGTACAGTGGAAAAATACGACTAGGACCATCCGTCTAACCACGGGAGACGTTCATTATTTAAAGTCGTTAAAATCGACACTAGTCCAAAAAAAAAAATACATTTATACAATTTTTTTGAATTAAAATTTTTTTTTATGAAAACAAGGAGCATTTTAAGTTCTTTACTCCTGAAGTGAATATATTTTTGGAGTGCTTCGTACACATATAAAAATCGAATGTTGGACGAGTAATTTATGAGTTATACGTGTTTAAATAGTAGATGAGCGGATGCGTGGGTGGTACTGCAGCAGGAGTATACACCCCAAAATGGTTGGTTCACCATTCAGCTCGTCAAAACTTTAAAGACTTAATATAAAGAATAATAATTATTTGTTCGAAATTTGATTTTTATAGATCAAAATCTACAAATAATATTCTACTTTGGGGCATGAAATTAAAAAGTCACGTTCTCATTTAAAAGAGTAAAAACACAAAAATTATAACGATACTAAAATGTAATTAAAATATAAATATTTTCCAAAAATATTGTTTTGTAAACACTTAAAAATACTTAAAAGACGTATTTTCAAAATATTTAGTTTTTCTGAAATAATGAATATCTTACATTAATGGACGACTGTGTATAGCATATATATGGCTGAGGAGCAACACTATATAATTGTTGTGCCGAACGCCTCATATTGCTCGAGGTATCATATATTATCATAATAATATAATATTTGTAACGGTAATGTCGTGGTGTTGTCATGTTGTATCGGGTTGTCGACGGTGCAGTTGTGTTGCAATTTCAGTTTTGAACACCATAATATTAAATATTTTTGTCACGTGTATTATTATCGTCGTATATCGCGTGCTCGTCACTGCGGAAAACGATACTCCTCAGAAAGGGCGTAGGAAAGAACCGTGATAGTCATAGGTTCTGCACGAATGTTGTGGTTGGGTTTTAGAGACGCTTCGGACGAATTCGATATCGGTGGGAATAATTGGATGTTCGAGTATAATGTGTTGTATGTATTTGCATGTTACCAGCTGGTATATGAAGCGTTCGTACGTGTAACTACAGTCAAGTCGCAATAAACCATAGTCGATGGGCGATAAAAATCGCTTCAAGGCATATTATATTATTAGAGTTAATTAACTAGAATTTATCAAAATTAAGTAAAAACTTTGATCAATATAATGAAATAAAATTTTAAAACCATTTTATGTTGAACATGTGTGCGTTAATCACGCTAAAAATATTCAATACAATTGCATTATAAAAGAATTATGATAAAACACGTTATGGTAGCATTTTTTTTTTAAAAGACACAGATAGTGTTACTATATACAGTAATAGCAATAGAAAAATAATTAGTTATTCATATGTCTGACTTTCGGCTGTTTCTTAAATAAATCTTATAATTGTTCTGCTCCTGGGAATATAAAATATGTATCCACGCATTTCACAGGTTCATAATATTCAATAAGTTGCTGAAATTTTTTTGTAATGATGCATTGCTTGGCTCGTCGACCGATGTAATAATATTTGAAGTTTTTCTTTGGCACTCATTATTTTCATCATTTTTGGAATCACTATTTTTTTCATTTGATATATTTATACATCGTTTGTGCTATTTATCATAATTTTATCTACAAATTGACGTGACTATTAGACTAATAAATAATAATAAGTTGAATGTTTGAATGTTACAAGAATTTCAATGGAATACCTAAAAAAATATTCAAGTAGTCGAGGTTCGAGATTTGATTAGTTAATATTAAGCAGTATATTTCGCCCCAGAAATAATATATTCACATATTATATTATGGTATTTTTTTATTATTGAATATTTAGAATAATCTAAAAGGCATTTCTTTCTGCTTGAAATATACGATTCGTTTACTATACCTACATGGGTACTCAAGAATCGTGACACTTTTAAGATGTGATATTGGCACCTTGACTACATTATTATTTATTTTGATCATAAAAAATAAGTAAAATTACAAACTATTTATAATATGCCCATTAATATTATAACACCAATATAGATAATTATTTCAAAAAAATATAAAAACTGTTTTTTCGACATTTTTGATTTTTGATTTGCATTCCTTTTAGAGGTAGAACGAATTATACTTAAGTCCCGAGAATGCTGTAGAGTTCCATATTATTATATTTTGATGACTTTATAAACTGCAAACACATATTATTATTGTAGTTGTTGTTATTTCAACAACGAACTGCAATGTTGTAATTA